CAACCCTGCTGTCGTAAACAAATGAAAGACAGAAATGAACAAAGCGCGGTTTTTGTCTGTTCTGAATGTGTTAAAGAAGAATATATTGTGTCATATATGCGTTTAAGTTTAGTTTACATAAATCGTGCCTGGGATTGATATATTTAACATCTGAAGTTTAAAGGAACGCAATGTGCAAATAGAGTGTAAAGTCAGGAAACGGTGATGTATGTGTGAGTGGACATAACCCAAGACAACACCTGATGTCAGAATACAAAATACAGGTAAGTCTATCAGATAACATAAAAGTAGGTTTAGAAATTGAATTAAAGTTTATATACAGCATTTAAAATGAAAATACTGCAACAACAACAATTTAGTGTGCATTTTTTACACTCCCAACTCAAGAAATGGGCTAGTGACCATATGCACGTCTAGTAGGTAATGCAAGGTTAATTCTGGAATAACACCTCAATTTATTACAAATAAATAAACACGGTTCTCGTGTATAGTTTTTGAGATGCCTTAGAAGAGGAATGAAAGCTGCACAAACTGTGGGTGCAGCAATGGATCTGCCTGTTCACCTACTTTTTTATACACAGACAAATTTCATATATGAGAATGAGGTGTCAGGCAGTTTTTAGTTCTATGTAAATAGCAACGGATTTTTTTTTGCAGTGCATACAATAGTACAGAAGATATTACAAGACCTTTTGATAAAATATTGCAGAAATATGGTAACATTTCCCTTGATGATAATGTAGAAACTATATTACTGGATACAGAAGGAGTTTAAGTTGTTCAAATGTTAACAGAACACTGCCAAATACGCAAAAAAACAAAAACAAAGAAAAACAACAATTTGTTCTAAGAATTCTAATGCATACGGTAATGTCATGGAAGTGGTAGGAGCAGCAAATATTTTCCATAGGTCAGAGGCTGCACTTGGTGACAAGGCAGTGGAAGAATCAACAAAATAACAACAGGTTACAAGGTCTAAAAACTAAAAACTAAAATAATTACTTTAAAATCTTGCGTACTTTTTCAAACCTTCTATGGTTTGTCAATTTGACAAATGTGAAGAGGAAATATGAAGCGGGGAATCTAGGCAACCTTTGTCCGCGAGCTGTTCATTAATAAAGTCCTTTTCATAATCATTGTTCGTAATTTTTGAATTCCTGTTTTGGGTACCAGAAGATCAAAATTAAGAATATTAGCACAAAATTCTTGCCTGATTTTATAACGTAAGTATTTACACTGTTTTCAGAGATCTGGTTGCTAGAAATTACCCAGAAAAATTCACTACAGCTGGACACAGAAAAGAACTTTAAGTTTAAATAATTGTTACAGGAACAGGCACCAAACTTTGTATTTGTGGTATTAAGAGAATTGAAAACTGGGATTCTAGATGCAGTCATAATTTTCGATGATGGCTGTGTTAGTAGTCTGGGGATCTTCGACATTCAACATGAACGCAACATCGAA